AATTTGACAATGTATGAGTTAGTTAATATTTTGTCCATTGATTTGAAAAATAATTTTTAAAATCAATGACAGAGATCTTGACAACTTACACTTTGTCAATCTATTTGTACAAATTCATTGTACAAGTAGATTAGTTCTTGTTTGTCTACTATTGTAGTTGGACTAAATTTTTATCTCTGCCCTCCGTATTTGAGTTTTCTTTTTCTTTTCTTTTTTATGTTTATGTACACGCGGCCTCTTTCACTTAAAAGTGTCAAGTCTAATTTTATAATTTAAGGTAACTTTCAGATGGGCTTCGTGATCCTTCCCTTTTTGTGTTTGTGAGGTTATTGCTCTCATTTTTACCTGTGTATCAGTGTATTTATAATGTGTTATTAATGTATGTTTGCTTCCTCTTTTATTTTATTTTTTTATTCAAGTTAAATTCTTGTTATAATGCTCTTTACAAACTGAGATTAGTTTTAGTCTGTAAACAAGTTTAGATCGTGTATACACGTGCAATAATATTAATAATACGTGCTTAAGTAAGTTTATGCATACATTTCATAAAACTCGAAAATCAAGTGCGCTATACATCCACATTTTACGGTTCGGTTATATGATTTCAGCTGTCAATAGATTGCAGGTTTGGGAAAACGATAAAGTTGATAGATGCCAAGCTAGAGTTTTCCACTCAGAATGACAAAATATTATGATGTTGATGATATATTGGCAGAAGAAGAGGTGAATGTTTGAATAGAAGCATGCCTATGTAAATTATGTTTGAGAATTGTGGTACTAATTTTTGTATTTTACTATTATGTAAGCTTGTTCCAGCTGTATTTCAACACGCTGCAAATGGGGTTGGACTTTTTGACTCGAGCGATGATACAAATAAGGTACATTTGAGCAAACAACAATCTAAGCTGGAAGAAAGTATGCTATTTTTTGTGTTTATTTTTTTTAAAGACTTCTACTAGTATTCATTGGCTAATTCATGCCCTTTTACCCATTTCAGGTGGAAGCTGGATCGAATGTAGAACTGCCCTTCTGGCTGGTTTGTCAGTTGTATTTGAGGCAACTTGTCTCCATTAGGGTCCCACCATGTTTTGACAAAGAGTAAGATCATATTAGCCATATCTTATATTTGTATATCTTCTTTTTTTCAAGAATAAACTAAATGAAGAACTAACTAGATGACCCGTCTATGCATATGCAAACATACCCTAAACATGTTCTCTAGAAATCAGATGGAATATGAAGAAAAGATTATCTTGGTTCATTACATAGGAATCAAGAAGAAAAATGAAAAAAAGTAAACAATTGAAAGAAATTAATTTTAGAATATGTCACAACTTCCTTTACCCATTGATAAACTTTCATTGCAATGCCTTTACTTCAAATTTTTATTGAAGTGGGTGAGGCATAAGGTAAAGTTGTTTTTTAAGTGCTTTTCCTGTGTAGTTTCTTTGAATTTAAGATCCTAAATGGAACCTTAATACAATAATTAGGTGAAAATGAGTTTGGCTATTTCTGGTTTGCCACTTTATCGTACATGTTGACATGATTTCATCAGATACTGGGAGACAAAAGGGGCTTGATGGTTTACTTTTCATCTACCACAAAAGAACTCTCGTGAATTTCTACTCTCTTTAACAAGTTCACTGTGTGAGCATTGAGCTTACTTATTTTGAATTTTATTATTGTACTACATCTAATGGTAGAATTATTAGTTTATTATCTTGTAACCCTGAGAGGTAGTTCAATTAGTCAGGCCTTGGGTTTGCTCCCCAATGGTCACCAGTTCGAGTCCTCTCAGGGCTACTGAAGTGAGAAATAGCTGTAAACTTCAGGGCCCCGTGGGATTAGTCGAGGTGCGCGCAAGCTGGCCAAAACATCCACGGTTATAAAAAAAAACTAGTTTATTATCTTGTATATTTGTTTCTTGCCTTACGAAGTGTTGATTATTTTCTTATGTTTTGTTTTCCAGGTCCAAAACACGAGAGGAAATAGGGGCTGATGCTGCACATGTGGATTTAAGAAATAGATGTCCATATTTTTATGAATTAGGATGCAAGATTGCACCACTGTAAGTTTGGCATCTTGAATGCCTAGGTGAATTAAATTAGTATGAATGATCTGCATCTAATGCTTCATCTGAATAAAACTTTTTTACTGGGAGAGAACTAGTTCAGTACATTAGTACATACAGTTTCAGCAAAAGTGTAGAGCCACCAAATTTGATCATCTATTGTTGCTATTACCCTTTGGCCTTAGTTTGTTAGTGTCTTTGTTTTGTAGCCGACTTGGACAGATGTCAATATAAAATATCAGCTAAAACTCGTAGCAATGCTTTCAAGATCTGAATTCATGTCGTATCTCAAGGTGTATAGGTAATACTGTTATCATGGGTTGCTCATCAGATTTGTATGATCCAATGGTATCATTAAGAAGGAATATTGAACATGAATATTGAAATAGAGATGGGATCTTGTATATGCCATTAATGCATTAGGAGCTAATCATTTTACCTTATTTTGTCTTTGTTTTCCTGCACATGATGGAAAATGTTTTTAAATTGATAATGCATACAGGACAACTGAAACTTCATTGTTACACATTTTGTAGTGGTAGGTATATGGCATGTTCAGTAAAATGGAACCTGATACAAAACTAATAACAAATATCTCTTGATTGTTAAGTTTTGAAATCAAGAGGAGTGGTATATTCTTGTGTAATCTCTTTTCTTGTATTGTTTTGCCAACGAGACTCCTTCCTTGTTTGCTTTGAGTCTTTCATTTGAATATTACTTCGCTCCTATGAGATGAAGGCTTTTTCAAGCTCTTTGTTCCTAAATGCTAACACTTCTGTTATGATGCAAGCAGAAACTAGCCCCTTTTGCTTATGTTACCTATTGTCATGGTAACACACATTTGCCTATTTTATTATATTGTCACACAGTAGAGAATTGTAGGGGAATTGTTTGCTGTTCTCCATTATATTGTCACACAGTAGAGAATTGTAGGGGGAAATGTTTGCTGTTCATGGAGACACTGCTGTGTTTGCACCATCCCCTAATGTGTTCTAGTCTCACTGTATATACAGTATTTTGTGATAGTCCAGGTGTAAAATTTTTTGGAGATACAACTCAACGGCAGTAGCATAAAGGGAACTGAATCTGAGCTTGTATTTTTTTTTAATGAGCAGTATCGGTGACAAAACGATTGGGCCATTCCTTCTCGTTGCATTTCGGATCAGATACAAGGAAGTCCTGATCAAGGCCCACACCTTGACATTGACCGTGGCTCCCAAATACTTGACACTTCTAACCAATGAAGAAGCTAAATGTAAGTTTGTAGAACCTGTAAATGATGCTTGTGTATTATATATCCATTTTTTTTTATAGATATCTGTTCTTCACAATACTTCGTGGTTATTTATTTTGAAGTGTACGAGGCTGGTCAATCTTCAATAGCTGCATTTAAAAAATGGCGGATGGGTGGACCTCGACTCCAGATAGCCCCTCTTCTTGGGAGAAAAAAGAGGAAACCAACTGGGTAGGTGGTGGTTCTATAATTCACGCTTGTGTTTCATGCATCTAGGAAGTCCAGCGCACTCTAAATAATGATATTTGAATACCTCGAGTTCTACAAGCTTTGCCTCTTCAGAATCTGTTGGACACCAAAAACATGGTGTAATATCAATGAATTTGTGGCACTTCCCAATACAATTTAAAGAAATTTCTTCAATGGTTATATGGTATGCCCTTGACAGAGCATTGTATTTGCTAATATAGTATATGGTGTTACTTATCTCAAATCGTGATTACATTTATTTGAATCTCTTGCGATATAGGACATTTATTTCTACAATTTTCACTTGCGTCCCGTTGAATTGACACCGACAAGTTTGATGTCACATTGGATTTAGAATTATCAAGTTCATAGCATCCTCTAATACAGCTTTAACTCTCTCTCTCTGAGTCTTCACAAGTCACAATGACTAAAAACATAAATAGCAGATTGATGAAGCCCCGATTGTTTACTATTTTATCATACATTGTTTGTTACATTAGACAATCTCCCCCACATTCACCCTATAAAATATTTCACACAAACTAATAAAGTTATTTTAAATTTCAAAAGAATGTGTGTAAAATAATGGGAGACCTTTCAATCATGTTACATACACGTTTTGTTTTACATTGTTTTTTATATTGTCATGTTTATATTGTGTCATGCGTCGACACGTGATTGGATATACTTTTTGAAATTACACAACGTAAGACAAAATGTAACTCATAGAATGTATACTCAGCATAATTCTTCTACTTTCTAGTTTTCCCACTTTTCTGAACACAAATTTCTCTTCCGTGCACGTTTCTCATATTAGTTAAATGCAACACTCAATCCAGAACACATGAAAGTCTAGTAACTGATATCTAAAGTTGGCCTTTTAACATTGTATGGATTTTTTAACCACAATTCCCATAACATTTCCCCCTTTCCAGGCCTCTATTTGGAAACTGATCTGATAACATTTCCCACAAACATGAAAATAAGTTCTTTGTAGTGTTCTAAGAATTTAAGATAAGTTCCTTAATTTCTTGGCCAATTCACATTTGCTGGACAAAAGATATGAAGAAAAATAATTAACAGACGAAGTTCAAAGGGGTGCAACTACTCTTCAGTCATCCAAAAGAAGTTATCCAACTACAGAGGCTTAAGTAAAGGGGTGAGAAAAACAGGTTTTCCCTGCAAGAAGCAACATTATATAAGAACTGGAGAAATATCTATACTGAAGAATGATTACATCATCACTAGATGTTAACTAACGTTTAAGCTGATCAATTCAGATAACCTTTCACCTACTTGATTTGAATGTACATCTATACTGAAATAGAAGAAATGCTCTACACCTTCAATCTTCATATACTACGCAAAAATGACCACGGTCGTTTCTTCAAGATTGAGAGTCGAGATATATTACAGATCAAGAAATGCAGAAACAAACTGAATAGCTCAGGTAGCAGTTTCTCCTCCTCTCAGCAGTTCCTGGAAAAACAAACTTACTTTATAAACTTCTAAAATTCCACCTGAGTGTTTAACTGCATCTCTATGCTCTTCTCACGGTTCATTTGAAAGCAAAGAACAAATTACTATATGCCGGAAGGGGGCAGAGTGCATTTGGAAAGCAGCGTCAGCACTTTTCCACCAACAGAACCTGTCAATATTAGTGAACCATGTTCTGATATGGGGCTTTTTCCCATATTCTTTGCGTGAAAACAATAGCCTATTCCCACTATACAACATTACCCTACAAAATCAAGGATCCACTGTTCTAATTCACCAGCAACTCACTAATTAATCCTTCTAAACCTCAAAACCCAACTCTACATGACGCGATCAGCAAAGCAGAACGAGAATTAAATAGGTGGAAACACCCAAAATCGACAAGAGCAATGAAGGAATCATTTGTTAAATTGAATGTTACTGTTGGTGAAATAAATAAATTGGTGATTCAGTCGTACTGGATTGAATCAATTAAAGGTCTGGATGAACACTGTTAAATTGAAGATGCTGACCATTCGTGCGGGATCAAAGATGATAGCTTTATTTCTTTCTAGCTTCTTTTTATCTTTCCACTTCATAAATCTTGCTTAATTCATTTATTAACTTCTTGCTTTAAGTTCCAAATCCTAACATATCAGAACTCATTTTTTCTGCAATTAACCAAACGATGCTATGGATTGTTATTCCAAATCATATTATTGAATTGACCCAGCATTTGTGGGAATCAACAGTTTCATCATTGATTTTTCATTATCTTATTCGTAGCGCTACACCATATTGGTGGAGGGTGGTTTGCTCCAAGGGATGGCACCAAGAGTGCGTATGTTGAGGAAGTTTAAAGTCAGGAAGAGTTGACTCTGATGCGATAATAGATGGATCTGTTAGTGCGACAAATGTTCATGCTAATGGCCCAAGTTAGGATGGCACAAAAAACTGAGTTTCTGTTTTGGACACGTTTCAAGAACTGAAACTCTTTAACATTTTGGAAACTACAAATATTGTTTCCTGTTGAAATTTGGAAACCTTGGGGAAACTTTTAGGAAATTTTGGATCAAAACACTCTAAAGCTTTAACCGAAGAAAAACTTTGCCCCTGTTTGACAACTATTATTTGAAATATTTTTTTTCTACATGCTCATTTTCAATCACACATTCGCATAATAAAATATTCTACACGAAAACCCAATTTTTTTCCTTACTTTTTAACCACATATTCTCCTAAATGCCACTATTCAAAACATTTTTTCGCCAAATAATAGTTGTCAAACAGGGGATTAATTACATGCTCCAACCAAAAAATAGAGGCCATTTTATGCACTGAGGATGGTTGTGTAGTATAGATATTGATACCAGTGATGTATTTAAAGGAAATTTAATTCGAGAACTTGTGGAACTTTTCAGTTTGAGTTTTTGTGGAACTTTAATTCAAGAACTTGTGGAACTTCACTTAGATTAGATGATTGTGGTATTTTCTTCATTTCATTAATATGAAAGTTCTGTAAAGTTACACATCAAATTTACCAAAATAAATTAATAATTTTTTATATATTGTTTCCCTGCATTTTTTATTCCTACTTTTTACAAGAGTATGATTTCCACATGTCGTGTCGCATATTGTTTCCATGCAACCCGCCTAACATTAGATATCTTGGGCACGTTGGTTGGGCTTTGTGAGCACGAAGCACATGGTGGGGTTCCCACCAAATGGGTTTGCACACTGTAATTAGAATGCTAGATGCATCGTGGATGGCACAACCGTGAGACAAGATGGGCGCAACACTAGGGTTTAGGCAAATTACCATCTGACCCAAGCACGGATAGTGAAATTGAAGTGGACAAAAACATGTTTGCTAGGTTAGCATCATCACAATGATAAAAGCTGATGCTGGTGAGGCTAAAATTGGACCTACCAAATTTTCAAGATAGCCTAGCCGCCAATTACTCCCTAAACTTAACTAGCTACATTCCGTGCAGGAGATTAGTTAAAATATATATTAGTTACCTACTTGTTCACCTTGTTATTGTTAGGGACTAGATTGCAATCTTTCTTTTCACCTTGTATATATATTTTTGTACACTTTCCATTTATAAAATATGAAAGAATTCTTCCCAAATGTCGACAAGATTCTTCATCTAAAGATGTTGCAAACAAACGTTAGGCCTCTTTGATAAATTCTTGTTTTTGAGGACAAGTGAGGACGGGTGCCGCTTGGTGGTTGTACGCCAAAGGCAAACATGGAGCTATGAACCAAGATTGAATCGTGGACAAAGATGAAGAAACACCTCAAAAATGCCTTCATTTCAACGACAACTGCACACAAATTAAGGCATAGGGTGCAATCGGTTGACATATATTTGTCAAAGTTTTCCAACTATTGGCCTCTAACAATATTAAAGAGTTTAAACAACATGTAGTGTTAAGGTACATTAGACTGGGAGATCTGAACTCCAAGTGTTAAACATGTTCACACCTCTTTCCATTTCAATGTTGCGCCAAAGGACTGTACAACTTGAGAAGTAAATCATCCGACGAGCAATAGGACAACCGACAGCCATTGGAGGTGATGGGAGCAACCGCATGCCCACTTCTATTGTAACAACAATGGCACAACCACGACTTTGGTAAGACAAGATGCACAAGAGTGAACCTCACTACTTTTGTCAGTAGAGAGCTCACATAGGTTCGTTCTAAGAGGGAATTATTTGCCGACAAGGTGGAAAGGGAAGAATATGAAGGAGCGTTATTATTTTATGTTGGGAAAGATGAGGTCCCACTGTAAGAATGAGTTGGGGTGAAGTCAGACAGCTCCTTGATGGAAGTAGGGGTGGGCAAAACCCAAACCAACCCACTTAAACAGCCCAACCCGACCCAAACCGACCGGTTTGGGTCAACCCGATGGCAAGCTCTTTGATTTGTTCATTGGAAAACTAAGATGTTGAGCCGAATGAAACAAATATCACTGAATTTAGAGGTTGTTTGTCAAGCAACTCTAAACATTTGTGATGAATATCCCATATTTGGTAATTTGTTTCTCGTTTCAATGAAACTGACAACAAAATTTATTGTTTTTAATTTTGTATTAATTACTATTTTGGGTGCAGGGATTGTAGCCTGTGGGAAACAAATTTATTTGGGTAAGGATATACTATTTTTTTTTTGTAATTTTCTTTTAATCAGTTTCTATATTTGGTAAATATGATGGATTTTGTTTTAGGTGGATTTGACACTGCTCTAGCTGCCGCCGGTAAATTATCAATATTTCTCTTCTTCTAATAATTGTATTATTAATTCTTATGAGTTTAAATATATCTGTTTGGTTTCAGAGCATATGACAGAGCTGCACATATGTTGGTTAATGGCGTAGATGAAGAATCTGAGTAAAGAGGAATTTGTGCAACTATTACGACGTCACAGCACTGGTTTTTCGAGAGGGAGTTCCAAGTACAGAAGGGTTATGCTACACAAATGTGGCCGATGGGAAATGGGGCAATTTCATGGCAAACAGTAAGAATCCGTATTGAACTAGTCCAGAAAATATATAATTATGAACTAAGAATTCATGGGAAATAATTCTTGAGAAGATTTTAGTATAGTTTGAAATGAGAAATAAATTGGGAATTGGATTGTTATGGTGGGGATTGCAATGCTTACACTGCAGGTATATATATCTTGGCCTATTCGACTCTGAAGTAGAGGCTGCAAGGTCCTAATGATAGGGAAAGTATACCATCATTTTTCCAATTTTTCCATTTTCCGTTATCCAACTCGTTTTTCTGTTTTGATTTTCTGCAAACATAGGGCTTACGACAAGGAGGCCATCCAGTATAATGGAAGGGATGCTGTTACTTTGAGTCGATGAAATTCGATGGGGAAAGTATACCAGAGCCATTGATAGAAGGTATAGTTATATTTGAAAGTGTTTGTCATTATACAATACAAACTACGCAGTTAGCCAACATGATCTTGACATGTCCCCAACCCGACCAACCCGACCGACATTTAGTTGGGTTGGGTTGAATTTCAATCAAACCGACCATGTTGGGTTGGGTTTAGGTTGGAGAAAAAATCGACCCAACCCAACCCATGCCCACCCCTAGACGGAAGGTGTGCCGTTCAACACTCAGAGAATTTAGATAATACCATCTCCAAAGAGATGGTGCAAAAGTTCTCCACTGAATGACAACTTAAAACTTACAAATTAGCTAGGTTAAAACTATGAGTTCTCTATTAGGTCAACACATGTGATAGACGTTTGAATACTTTCTTTTTGGTGGTAAATAAAGTGATTTTATTACCAAGTATGAAGTAGGAGTAACACTTAAGGAATGACAACGGGGCGAGTTCGGTGCGGGGACACCATTTCCCATCCCATCCCATCCCATCCCATCCCATCCTCGCTTAAGCTAGTAATAAACGAGGTAGGAATGGCCCCAATCTCCATTTAATGCCCTATTTATTTTTTATTTTAAATTCATGAATATGGTTCTTTAATATGAATATGATGCACTGTTTGAATTGATGATTTTTTAATTTTTTTTAAAAAAATTAAACGGGGTGGGGACCATTGATCCTAGCATGGTCCCAACCTATCTCCAATACGACTAATTTGTTAGCCTTGTCCACGCCCCATACCCAGTTAAGTGGGTGAATTTCTCGCCTCGTTGCCATCCCTAATTGCACTACTACTAAGGAAAATGTTATTTAGAGCATGTTTGTTTCCCATTTTTATAGTAAGAATGATTTTGAAATAGTAGATTGACCGACAATGTGTGGTTAATAAATAAGAAAAAAATTTAGATTTGCGTATAATATTATTTTATTGAAGAATGTGTGGTTGAAAATAAGAGAGAGAGAAATGAGTATCAAACAAGGGCTTTTTAACACAGGTTTCTCGAACAAAAATTGAAGTAGACCAAAATGCTCTAAGGATGAGAGAGGGTAGCATGTTGAGTTTGAACTGAGGTTTCATTTGGGCCATGTTAAGAAACGATCACTCGCTGGCGCATGATTGTGGTAAGTTAGCAACATAAAATTTAAATTGGAGGAAGTAGAGAAAAGGACCAACCTGGAAGCATATCGTCTCAAACTATACCTAAGTCATATGAAAACTTCAAGGTCTGTAATATAGAGCATCTTGTGCCTTATTGCAGGGATAGCTCATTGCACGACGATAACGACTTGGATTCCAAGGCAAATTTTCTTCAACTCAGAGAAATGATGCAATAGGCAGAGTAGAACAAGAAATTTTTGCTAGGCGGGAACACCCAAAGTCTACAAGAGCCAATTAAGGGATCCGCAGCTAAATTGAATGCTATTTTTGGCGAATCATTGCTGACAAGATTGAGCCCATGTTTGGTTTGGATTAAAATTCAATTAAAATCTCAAGTCAAAGTCAACAATTAATTTTAACCACACAATTCATGGGACCCACAACTTTTCAACCACACAGTTTATCAACTTTTTATCAAAATCCACTAAAAATCTGATTTTAATTTCTACCAAACAAAGACTAAATCAATTAAAGGGTGAACGAATGGACTTAAACTATTGGTACTAAATTAAATATATTGATTGTTAGTTCTAGATCAAAACGGTTGATTTATTTCCTTTCCATTTTATTAATTTTATTTATTTCGTTTTCTAATTTCTTGTTTCAAGTTCCACTTTCGTAGGTATCAAAACTCAGTTTTCTGCGATTAATTAAACATCATAGTTTGGGATTGTTAAGCATTCTGGTAAATAAAGGGCGTCCTTACCGATTGTCTATGTTGCTCGGACTCTCCATTTCGGTCGGAATACCCGTGTCGACACGATACGACACGGGTACCGGTACGGAATACGGGTCCGATTCTTCAACTTTCAATCGGACCCGGCAAGAAATTTTTGGAAAATTTGTAGATTTACCTTAGCGACGGTCTTGTTGGAGATGGAAGGTGTCTGCAAAGAAATGGCAAGTTGGCGTCGGCGGTCCTTGGTGAAGAAACAACAGATCGGCACCGGCGTTCCCAAAATCGTGAAGAACAGAAGAAGAAGAAGATGACGATTGGCAGGAGAGGAGATTTGGGTTTAATTGGAGGTGGGCCATTTTTATTGGGTTGGATATGGGTGGGCTTCATAATATTAATATGGATGAGTTTAATTGGAGCTTGGGCTATTTTTAATATGAACATGAATGGACTAATAATGAAATTGTTTTTACACCACACATTTTTTAGTTTAATAAAATATTCAAATAATACATTTAATCATTTTTTTTAATTTTTTTTTTCAATTCATCATTTTTAATTCGAAAAATACTGTAATATCAAAGTAAAAATAAAATTTTAAAAATAAAATTGAAATTTGAAAGACGTACCCACGTACCCGTGTCCGAAATTTGGACTCTTATTAGCCATGTCCCCGTATCCCACATTTTACAAATTAAAGGATTCGACACTTAGATACGTACCCGTATCTGACACCCGTACCCGAGTCCGAGCAACATAGCCGATTGTCATTATCTTCTTCGTTGCGCTACGCCACTACACTAGCACACACAAGTATTCACGAGTCTAAATTTTCAATGCCCACTATGGAGCCAATGCCTTCTTCAGCCAAAATATTTGAAAACCCTAATTGATTGAGAGAGAGAGAGAGAGAGAGATGTAATGTAACTTAATCCAATACAGCCCATTATTGGTGTTGGTTCAGATTGGGGCGAATAAAAATGCTAAAGATACTTCATTAGATCGGGATAGCTAGAATTTATCTTTACCAGTTTGGCAGCAGAAACAGATTGGTGCTGCCTTTCTTTCTTCTCGCGTTGGCACTCAGCACACCAGCTGGAGAAATCCTTTTGATATTTCCTCAGCTCTCTGAATACAGAACTACAGGAAGAAGACATTGATACTAAACTTTGTGAAGACGAATATAGTTATATCTGGAATAGTAACAAAACAACATGAAGAATGTAAGAATATACGGACAAAGTTACTTCCCAAAAGGCTATAACCACCGGAGATGTGCAACTACAATAAATATATAAACTAGTGACACTTGAGTGCTCTGCAGAAGTAGTCCAGGAAGTAATTACTTGTATGTATATCAACTTAACGACTAATACATTATTAGACTTTTTTCTGGATGGATATTGCTAAAAAGTAATGGGAATCCAGTAATCACTAGCGACCTTATACGGAGAGGCGGCTAGGAGAAGAGGGGAAAAGTTGAAAAATCTATTCTCTGCATGCAAATAGGTTATGACATTCCTGAAGCTTCTAACAACAAAATTACATAAACCGAATGGAATAGGATATTTATGGCTTACTTCAGTTTATTTCTCTTTCCATCTTCTTTTATCAATCAGATATGCATGATACATGAAATGGGAACTACGAGAGAAAGATGAATCTATGTAATCATAGAACAAATACAGAAAAAGAAAGAAGAGTCATCTTCCAATTTTTGTAGCATGCAACGTAACAGACTCGAACAGGCATTTGAAGATATGAAGCAAAATCTGTTTTTTCTACAGGCATGTCAAGGAAAAAGATGATCTGTAATCCTTTACACAAGGAAATCCCAGTTATAAAATCCTTAACTCAATAAAAAGAAGGGAAGCCCTCCATAGCTGAATTGTCAGTGTTAAGGTTGATAATGGGAAAACATGATTGATTTAAGAATCAATTACATTGTTAAAATGAGACCAGCATAAATACACAAATTATGGTTGAAATAGATGCAGGTTGTCTACAGATCAGTGACTCCACTCTACCAGAGAATTTCGGGAGACAGTCCACCCATAACAACTGCCACTTTGTTTGTGAAAGAAGTCACAGCATCAGTCAGTTCTGATGTCAGTGATAAGATTAGAGTGGGAGTCGTGATATTTATTATTTCCTTTTGCTGTAAAAACATTTTCATTCTTTCCCCTTGAAATCACAATGACATTATTAGAATTCCTTCTGTCCATTTTCTTATTTTATCAGGGAGAATACCCTAGGTTCTCAGATGTTGAACCAGTGACAAAAAACGGAGCGAAGGCTAGGGAGTTAATTACCTCCTGCACCAAAGCAATAAGTTTATCCTATTTCCAGATGTTGTGGCTCTAGCACCATGCCGATGGCGGCCACGATGAAGAACTGCCCGTCCTGGGACGTGAGAGAAATCGAAGATTTCCTATGAAAAATACAATTACAAATTCCAATTTGAGTCGTCAAACGCAGATATAAATCTGCTAGGCTTCGTGGCACACAAACTTTCTACTTTAAACTTGAGGTTGTGTAATTTAAAATTGCTTTAAGATGCAATGTTAGAATAGATTCGTAGACCAAGTTGACTGTTCCATTTTTAAATTTTAAAAATTTCTTGAAGGTCTTTTCTTACTCCAATGTCAATCTGAACTTAGAAAGTTCTCAATGCATACTCTGGTGGATCAGAACTTCTAGCAGGCAATAAGTGGGTGACATTCTGTTAATTGGTCAGAAACACATAGAACCAAGTATCACAAGGAGTAAATTCTAAGACGCTTTACTTGAAAAGTGAAAGACATTGTAGTTCAAACAACCAGTTTCCCTAGATCCAATTAAAACACATGGCATATCCAACATGGAGAAAAGTCCAACCTGATTGGAAATAAGACTGAAAGTAAAAACTCATTTTGTAGGTCTTGTTACACAATTGCAATTTCTAAGATAAATAAAACAGGATAACAGAAAGTAATTACAATTTTCACTGATCAAGATTACTTTTCAAGTGTTTACTTTTCAAGTGTTTACAGTTCAATTATAATTTAATATCAGTAAGACCGGTCCATGAAAGAAAACAAATTAATGTCCCTAAAGGCACCAAAGTACACCAGTAAAGGTAACTCCAGGAAAGACCACTTACCTCCGACTGGGTTTCAGTGTTTACATGTTTTTCACAACGTACACCACGGAAGAACAGTTCACCGCCAGAAAATTGCTTTCCCAGGCAGACGTTTAACGTGACTTCTGAGTCATCCACATGGAAACCTACAAAAGTGAAGCTCTTGAGATTCCTACAAAAGAACTTTTAATGTGTTCATAACAGGAATTCAGCAGAACCAAACAATAGATAGATTAGCAAAAAATATGGTATCCGTACAAACTCCTAATTCAAGTTCGGTTTCTCAAGTAGTGCTAACAGTCTTTTTTTTATAGGTAATCATGTAATTTTATAAATAAAAGATATTACACAAGAAGTGCATTATCAATTTAAACAAGCTAGGAACAATAAGAAATTAGGCAACACTTCTATCGGACTATTACATGCAGCCTTAAACCAACTATACAAAGTGAAGTAAAATAATTCTCTAAACTGCTCTGTCGTCCGTGTTTGGTCCTCAAAGCAGCGGTCGTTCCTTTCTCTCTCCACGCACCAAACAATGCATCCTGGAATGAGATTCCAAACGAGCTTGTTATTCTTGTCTTGAAGCTTTCTCTTCTATGTGTGCACCACCTCCTCTACCCTCATTGGCAACACCCAACTCAATATTGTTACAATGCCAGAATATCATTCCACAGCCAACGAACACCGTCACAATGAATGAACAGATAGTCAATCGTTTCTCCATCCCTTTTACACATATAGCACAATTCAGTAATATAACAACCTTTTCGTCGAAGATTATCCGCCGTTAACGCCTGCCTCCTCACAACCGTCCATAGTAAAAATGTCACCCTTGGAGGTATTTGCAATTCCAAACCCTTTTCCAAGGGAATGAACTCTCCATGGGTTCCAATAAAGAACGGAAATAAGTGCGCACGGAGAACATACCATTCCGTGCCGCCCTCTACCTGCTGCAATCAACATGTCCTACCTGAATGTGCGCCTCATACAACGAGGCCAAAAATACCGCATAATCATCCAGTTCCCAATCATGTAAACCCCTTCTGAAGGCAATGTTCCAGCTAGGGTTCTCATTATGAATAGACATAACATCACTCACCAAAGCATAAGGCTCCAACGCAATGCGATGCAAAGAGGGAAACCGCACTTTTAACAGTTGGTTTCCACACCAGCAATCATCCAAGGATCTGACAGTCGTACCGTTCCCCACCTCAAAAACCAATCTTTTCTGAAATTCGATCCAACCCTTCCTGATAAATCTCCACAGGCTTACCCCATAAGAACCATGTCCCTTACCCGAACACCAACCCCCCTCCATAACGCCATACTCACCCCTATGATTTCTCTCCAGAAGCTCTCCCTCTCCATTCTAAATCATTACAGCCACTTGCCCAACAAGGCCTTATTAAATAATACAAGGTTCCTCAAACCAAGACCCCCCCACAGGGGAACAGACATCGCCCCATTTGACCAAATGAAATTTCCTCTCTTCCCCTAGCCCTGTCCAAAGAAATTCCCTTTGGATCCTCTCTAATCTATTTGCCACTGCAACAGGGATAGGAAATAGTGAAAGAAAATAGGTAGGGAGATTAGAGAGAGTGGATTTGATGAGAGTAAGTCGGCCTCCTTTGACAGATCAATACGCTTCCACCCCGCTAACCTCCTCCTCACCCTTTCAAGAATACCATTCCAGATATGTTTACTTTTAAATTTCGCACCTAACGGAANCCAAGATATGACATGGGTAGTCTTGCCACTCTACATTCCAATATGGCCGCCAATTCCTCCACGTTATCAGCCTCCCCCACTGGAATAGCCTCAGATTTCCCCAGATTTATCTTCAGTCCAGACACCGCCTCAAAACACAAAAGCAAGCAACACAAATTCCTAATTTGCTCAATGTTTGCATCACAAAAAAATCAGAGTGTCGTCTGCAAACAAGTGAGAGACCTGTAAATGACCAACCTCGAAACCTCTTAATAAACCCTCCATCACAGCTCTCTCAGTCATCCTGCTGAATGCCTCCATCACAATATCAAACGACAATGGGGATAACGGGTCACCCTGCCTCAGACCTCTACTACTTCTGAAGTAACCTTCAGAGTTGTCATTAACCAAAACTGAGAATGACACCGTGGAGATACAAAATTAAATCCACTTACACCACCTATCCTCGAAGCCACATCGCCTGAGCATATACACAAGAAAACCCCAATTAACGTGATCATACACTTTTTGGATGTTAAGCTAACACAACATTCCTGGAACCCCCTGACGTGTTCTTGAGTCAATGCATTCATTCGCTATAAGAACTGACTCCAAGATCTGGCGCCCCTTCACAAAAGCATTCTGGAACTTAGACNAAAAGCCATCCAGTCCAGGGGTCTTATCCTCATTCATATTAAACACCACCTCCCTAACTTCATCCTCCTCAAATGGTCTCTCAACCCAGATGGCATCCTCTTTTGATAAAGTCAAAAAGTCCAGCCCCTCCAACTCTGGCCTCCACTCAAATTGCTCTCGATAGAGATTCTGATAGAATCTCACCTACTGAGTGACGATATCATGTGGATCCTCATAAGTAATCCCATCTACATCCAACGATGTAATAGAATTCGTACGCCGATTTCAATTAGTGACCCGATGAAAGAATTTTGTGCATCTGTTGCCCTCCTTCAGCCACATGACCCTAGATTTTTGTCGCCAGCAATCTCCTCCATCTCCATCAATCTCTCCAACTCTCCTCTTAACCTCCCGCGTCTCTCCCTCTCCTCCCTATCCAACCCCCAACTCTCCTCCTGTCTGTCCAACTCTTCAATGTCGGACAGACATTGATTTTTACGACAGTCTGTGTCTCCCACCACCTCCCCATTCCACTTCTTTAAATCCCCCTTCAAAGCCTTCAATTTTTGATGTAAAACATAGTTGGGCCTAAAGTCATGGAGGCCCACCAATCCCGAACTCGTTGTACAAAACCATCAACTTTAAGCCACGTCTTCTCAAACCTAAACGGTCTTCTTCCATTTCCCCTCGTAATCCCAAATAACGATATAGGGAAGTGATCCGAGTACACTCTCCCAAGTCTCCTTTGAGTGACATCTGCATACTTAGCCTCCCATTCACCACAAATCAAGAATCGATCTATTCGAGATTGAACAGGTTGATCTCGGGACGACCAAGTAAACTCTCCCCCTAATAAAGACAGATCCACCAACATTTTTTCACTAANCTCCCCCATCATAGGCAAGTCCACCAACATATTTTCACTAATAAAATCAGAAAAATCCTCCATGGCCCTTATTAATCTCCCTCCACTCGACTTCTCAGAAGGAAACCTGACCACATTAAAATCACCCCCAATGCACACTGGTAAGTTCCACCAAGCCATCATACCAGCCAGTTCATCCCACATGCCCCTTCTATCCACATCTGAGTTTGGCCCATAAAATCCAATAAACATCCACTTAAATCTATCCCCAACATTACTAAAAGAAAGTGATAGAGAGAATAGCCCAACACTAACCTCCTCCAAATCAAAAACTCTAGTGTCCCACATGACAAGCACACCTCTCGATGCCCCGACGCTCCAAGAAACTGAAACCCAACGTGTTGTACCCCCAATAAAGTACTCACCACAGCCCTCGAGACGACCTCCAACTATGTTTCTTGTAAACATACAAGATCAGCCCGCCAACCCCTTAGCATGTTCCGAACACCAAGCCTTTTCCCAACTTCGTTGAGCCCCCTCACATTCTAACTAATGATTTTAGGAATCATTTAAACACTCATTCATCCCTCCCCCAACGTCCCCCTCTTAGATTCACCACCTCTAGCGTCATAGTTAATTGAAGTAGTGCTAACAGTCTTTATAAACCATTCTCACAATTTTCATCTAACTGATAGATAACAAGCCAAGACTCATCCAACAGAAGTGATTGTGATACCAAGAAAAATGCCCCTAGCTAGACCGCATGTCTTGACAGCTTGTTGGAGTCTGAAAAAGTAGCACAAAATACTTCAGACCAAAGTAGCCAACTAAGTCCTTAAAAACCACTCTTGGAATTTCCCTAACCAATGTAGAATTGCATGTCACAAATTTAAACAAGGAAACGTTTTACAGTATTTAGACAACAGATGCCATAAGAAAAAAAAAAGAGTTGAGGAACCAAAGCTTAGAGATAGCTACCTACCTAGGTCCAAATCTCTATCCATTCCATACTCAACCACAAAACCATGATGAGCATCAAGTGTAGACCCACCAACTTCAGGGAACAAAACTGCAAAAGATGTTCAATCCAAAGATTATATTGAAATCAAAATCTACTCATCATCCTTAATTCATTAGGAGTAGAATGATACCTTTCGATATAGTGCGTATGTATTCTTCCATGACCTTATCAAGCATGGTTTCCATACCAAAATCGTCAAGAACGGCACCATACGTATTCATTGTATTAGGTCTCATGATTTTAAATCTCGTCTCATGGACCCACTTCTCAAAATTTTCTACCTAAGCAATCAGAACCTGATAAGAAAACATAAAAATTGGTAATTGAAGCATTTCCAAAAGTACATGAATATCCTCAAACCACATCAAGGTGTTCTAGCCTAATGCAGTGGCTTAGTTTTGTCTAGGAGTACTAGATCTAGATATCCCCTAAATCTCTACTAATATAAAAGAGCCAATCCATAAATAACTGTTCATTTGTGAAGCATTTTGCCTCCCCATTTTATCCCCATGAATTACCATTTTCTCCACTTTATCCACCCGCAGATTACTGATCATCTGCAAAACAATTTTCCCACAGTGTATAAAATAAAATAAAAGGACACTATGGAGACAAAAAAAAAA